CACACACACACACACACACACACACACACACACAGAGGGCAACACAAACACACACTATGGTAAAGGAAAGAAGATTTGCGGTTGTTCAGCCAGAGGCTTAACTGACAGCCTTTAGTGTTTGTGCAGGTGCAGAGATCGGACCAACACTTGCGTCTCTCTTTGGATCCAGAAGCTGGTCTCCAGTATTTTTTGACTTGTAACCCCTTAAAGGAATAGTTCAACATTTTGGGACATATGCCTGTTTACGGTCTTGCAGAGAGCTAGATGAGAAGATTCAGATATTGGATATTCAGATAAGTAGCAATACAGGTTTTGCTACATTGTGGAGTTAGAAGCAGTTTTCCCTCTCAGATTGTTTTGTTGCAGATTCTTTATAAACTTAAAAAATGTTAAATATGTCCATCGACGATAGAAAAACTTTATTATAAAACTTTCACAGTCTTTATCAGATTCATCATACAACACGATACATTACAGGACATATGAATAGGATGAGATTAGTCCTTTCTCTGTGCAAAAAAGTCTCTGCTTTGCTACAATGTAATCCTTAAAACCATGTTTTCTTAAAACAATATAAAGATAAATAGTTTAGTACAGTTATTGCACTGAGAGTGCTGAACTGTTTCTAATACGAAATCTATGTGCTTCAAATAACAAAGATATAGAATAAGGAAGGCTGCCGCACGCGAATGAAGACGTGTGTAAAATAGTTATTGTGCTTGTAGCAGCAGAATTATGTCTTAAAGAGTTCAATAAACCGATTTACTGTGCTTTTGGTTTACTAATAACATTCTATATCAAACTATTTCTCATGGATGAAAAATTCATCTGATTCCCACCATTGTTCCTGTTTCCACAGGATGAGGAAGATGCTTTTCTCTTTATAAACTTTTCTTCATTCATTCATCCTCATCAAAGTAAAAGCGGGGTGGTGTTTTTCTTTGACGTTCAAGTGATGAATAATTTCTCAAAAGAGCAGATTGTTCATGTTCAGCATGTGATATTAATGTGAAAGATAAACATTCTCCAACGGGAGCTTCACCACAGCGGCTCAGTTTACATGACAATAAATGCTGTGGAGTTTTTTTTGTTGTTTTTTTATCCCTGCTCAATTTATTATTATTCATGTGATGTGCTGTGGCTAAATCTTTCTCATCTGGCTGCACATGAGTCTTTTTTCTCCTGTTCAGAGTCAGGATTTAAACCAATATTGGGGCTGTAGGGATCCAAGTGTTTCTCCAAAGCCTTTTCTCTTTTATCGTATTGTCACTTCTTCCATCTGCATGCCCACTGTTTTTCATTTCTTTCATTTGTCCTCTCTTGTTGCTCGTCCTTTTTGCTCCGCGGCTGGTTAATGTGGGTTTATCCAACCATCCAGGCGATTAATGTGGGCTTATCCATGCATCCGTTATCTACCCATCCATCCGGAAATGATTCTTGCGTCCTTCCTATATCTGCCCGTAGTTGTAAGTATGAGGACACCTACCACACCTTACAATTATGTCTTTTAGTGTCATGTTCAGGTACAGGAGCCTGCAAGAGAGAGACATGTGCAATGATTTTAGTTTTGCTTATTTGCTTCTCAGTATTTTCTTGCACTGCTGTCAAGAGAGAAACTTTGATTTCATGGTGTTGATTATTTTTCTTCGCAATCACTCAAGGATGAAGCACAAGGAGGCAGAGATTGTTCCCCTTTCAGATCCACCACAATAGGGCTCCTTGGTTTTAAGGGGGAAAAGGGAACAACAAGGAGTTTGCCCCTTTTCACTTTTTTACCTCTTTTTTCACAATCCAACTCTATACAACTTACTTAAAGAAAGACAGAAGGGGTCTGGAAGCAGTGTGATGCATTTATTGAGATGCATGTGGTCACAAATAGCAAACACCAGCTTGCCAAGAACAGTTCTCTTTTGATCAGATTAATTCCTCATTCTGTGGGACGCAAAGAGCCTCTAACTGCTCTCAGTATGTGGGGAAAACTGTTTCACAGGCTCAAGAGCAGGTTTATTAGGTTTTCTTGTAATAATTCATGGAAATGTATTGTTGCTCCTCAGGTTCTCTGTTTGTGTGAAGAAAAATCAAACTTTTACTCGTCAGTTAATGCCAAATTTTAACCAGGTGCCTCTCCTCCATGCAGAACATCCCCTCGTAATCCAAATGAAAAGCCTAATTTCCCTAAATATATGGAAATAGTCAAACTTGGCTAAAGTTCCGAGGCGGCCACAATTATTCTGTGGCTCTCAAAGATCCTGGAAATTCAACTCCATATCCAAAACATTTACTTTGATTCGTTCAGTATCACACTATCCTGTATTGCCTGTGTGGACATATTAATCCAACTATTTAGCTCCATCATAAACTAAAATGTCAGGTTTTAGAATGAAGCATCAGATGTACATTTTAAGGAAGGGGGAGTGTTGGATGAATCAATGGTTTTGTTAAGTGTGTTAAGTTTGTTTAAGGTGGGAGCGGGTGGCCCAGTGGGAATCAAGCTCATGTCTTCCCCACGTGGAACCTGCTGTGTCACCCATTAAATCACCAGATCAGTCCTCAAACAGGTCTGTGGGCCAGACTAAAGACAATATTGTTTGAGCTTTATAAAATTGTCAGTATAGTACGCCACAAAAACTGAACCTTTTGGGATTTAGATAAAGTTTGAGCCCAGTTGTCCAAATTATTTTATTTCTTATCGTAAAGTCAATCCAAACAAGCATAAGCTATAACACAACTGTTCTTTCATTTATATAATACGATAAAGGACTATGATGACTATAATCTCCTCAATAGCTGATTTTGTGTATATTTCTATAAAATTAGTCATCATTTACTGAAAATGAAAAATTCGAGCACTTGGAAATGTTTTCTCTCTTCTCTAAACTTTTTTTTTCAAGCAGGATTCTTTCTGGAAGACATCAGCGTTGTATCTACCGTCGATGATCTCAACGAGAGATCATCTGGAAATATGTAAGTAGAGACAAAATAGGATGAATTTTAGTCAGAAATATTTATTTACAACATGTACATAAACAGTTTCCTTCATTCACAGTTATATAAATAGAAATAGCAACAAAGCATAGCAGCCGTATTTACATGGCGTGTTGCGCACTGTGCAAACTAAACGTATTTGCGTGCGTGTGACCGATAAAGTTAAAATAGTGGTGATCGAGTCCCTGCACCGGTGACAAGTATCCACCGTGCTGCTGCGTGTGCGCAGAGAGCGGTACTGTTGGGTACGTGATGCCCGGGCTGCGCGCCGAGCTGTGCCAGGAGAAGTGTCCCGGTGGACTCTGCTGGTACACGGAGTCAGACGGACTGTGGCTTTGGTGCTCCGGGGAAGAGTGCAGCTGGCCGAGGTAGTCAGACGGTTCTGGCATCGAGCCGACCGAGCCGAACACGGGCTCGGTGACCACACGGGACTTGGACTGTAAGAAGGCGAGGATCCGTGCGTACTTGATGTCTTTGGTTTCAGCTCTGTCCTCTGTGGTCAGGTAGTGCACCAGGTTCTTCATACACTCGTGGTATCCGTAGTGGAAGTAGTTCGCAAACTCAGCGAGAAGTTCACCTGGAGTTAAACAAAGTAAACAACGATTACAACCCTGTCGATAACAATTTCAAAGTCAAGTCTTTCACTTTCTGATTCCGGTGCGTAAAACTGGACGAAATGTCGACTTCTAGAAATTCTCACTAAAAATTCACTCAGCGATAAGTATAATTAAAAATTACACAAATAGACAAGTAACCCCAGATTTGTGTTTACCCAGGATAAAGAAACTAATTTTATTCTGCTGACAGAATGTTGGTGGTTTGATGCGTAAAGTAAAAGAGCCGCGTAAAAGTTTACTGACCTTTTTCTCTCCCACGGGGAAAATCCGCTGAGTGCAGCGCTCGCAGATACTGAACTGTCATTTCTAAGATCTCAGCTTTCTCCAGTTTTCCAGAGCTCTGACAAAACAGTAAAGAAATAATCCAACGTTATAAAATGAACGAGCGTAAATATCAACCATCAGTAGAATTGCTGTAAGGATTCATCGACCAATTGTCAAAATGCATCAATATTGTGTAAATGATAAATCAGATGTACAAATATCATATTATCACAATACCTGTTTTGCCATTGCCATCGGTACTGTTTTTCCTAGTTCGTTCAGGCAGCGGTTAATTCGGTCCCGTCTTCGTTTCTCGATGACTTTGTGAGAGATGGGAGTTCGCTGCAAAACACAGGGAGATACAACATGAGCACATGGAATCACTGTAGTCAATCTCAACTTAAAGACATATTATCAATTAGAAACACGCGGAAGTCAGATGAATTACGAAGAACGTGTTGCTGAGGACTGTACACTAACTCCAGGCAGCTTTTGCGCGCAGTGCGCGCTTTGTTGCTCCAGAGCGCGCAGCGGACATCTGCGCTCTAGAGAGTTTGTTTGAATCTGAGCTCCCACTGGACACAGCACACATACCTTGCAGCATATTTAACACATAGCAGGTGTTTCTAACATAATTAACTCAATTATTGTCACCAACTATTGCGTAAATGTCCGATAGCCTTCTTTACATCAGAAACGCGCCTAATCATCTTGTAGCGCGTGCCACCAGCTGGTGCACAGTGGATTTCAGTTCCACTGGTGTAAAAATTACTCCAAATAGCAGTTTGACAATATTTCTTGAAAATAATCAAGTAAAAAATTCCAAATTGCAACTCAAAAGTGTTAAAAGTGTCATGTTGCCAAGATATTTCAGTCCTCAAAATGCAGAGCGCACAAGGAGCGCATACCTTCCTGTCTTTCATCTTCGATGCCATCGACGAATTTCTGTCAAAAGTGTTGAAATGAGTTTGGCTGGATGATGGAGAGGTGTGTTGCTCTGGTGAGAGATGAAGCGGACTGAGGTGTGAGCCGAAAACTGGCCCTTTTAAAGGGATCATCCAAGGGACTCCTGCATTCATGGTGTAAATTATTCCATGGGATTAGAGCCATGCTTTTGGGTAAATGTGTGCATTTAGGATCAGTTAAAGAAATAGTAAAAATCTAAAGCCATGGGCTAGCAGGGGGGCAAACCTGCTTTGTTAATCCACGTGGCTGTTCAAAAGACACGTGATTACTTTTGGAATATTATTTGCATAGTAAGAACCCAGGCGGGAAACAAGAACTGAGCGTTGGGATCGCCTGATCCGGCGGGGCGCACTGTGCGCACTGAAAACAAAGCCGGCGAAAAAAGAAACACTCTTTCTTCCAACTCGCGTTTCTCACACGATCGCCTGTTTACAAATCCCAGCAAGCGATCTTAACTCTCGTCCAAGCCCGGTCCGAGGTTTAAGGCCTGTCCAGTGTCATTAGAGTAATTAAGTAAGCCTTTAATAGGCTGTTCCGCCAAGTTCAGGGGAGATCTTTTGGAGACAGAGTCCCCCCGTTTGTTCTCGGCGTTTCTCACACGACTTGGTGACACGTCCATCTTTTATGAGAGATGGCAAGCTTTTTGTTTACATTCTTTATTTTGCAGGACTCCCAGGCAGGTGTGTGATTAGCCCTGGCACACGAGCGTCGTCTGCGTCAAGGCCAGCGTCTCCAGCAGCCTCTGGCACACGAGGGTTACCCACCACTGGAGACTCTTTGGAGAGGCTCAATTTGTATCCTATTATCCTATAAGAAAATGTCTATTCAGTCGAATGAATAGTTTCATTGGCCTAAATTTTAATAATGCTGTGAAAGAAAGGGAGAAATAAAGAAGAATGCAGCTGGTGTGAACGCGCATTATTCCCCGTCACCTGCAAGATGGGTAGCCTGGAGACCCCTATTCATTTGCCTAATTTCGGTCAACTTAACAAACTTTGGGAGAAATTATACTGCCATTGTTATGAAGGGTGAAGCTTTCTGATCGAATTAACAGCATGTTTTGATCCGGTAAATGTCATTAGAAAGAAAGAAACAATCGCGTTTAAAGGGGCCTGGGTAATGCGCCAAGTGGAGACGCCAAAGCGCACACTGCACAAAGGGTGCTAGTAAATGCCACAGGGGACTTTTGTACCCTCACATTGCTCAAGTTTTTCCCCCCAAACAAAGGGCATTATTTTATACTTGAATACATTTCATACAACAATTGGCTGTTTTCTTCAAACATATTTTCACAGCAAGGTTAACAACAGGTTTATTGTGTGCGCTCCTTCTCACAGATTCAGACTGCTCTCATGCGCCAAAACAGTTTGCTCCCAGTCCTTTTCTCCACTGTGAACGTTTTAATCTCGAAACTTTCACCAGTGCTTGGATATATTTGATCCTGTGAGCGATGTTGAAGAATAAAAAGCAGCGGAGATTGATAAAGAAAAGCTCACAAGACATCTGAAGAAGCGTTTGGCGAGTTTTTAGAGCACCATGGAGAGAAAAGCACGAGCGAGCGGGACGGGGGCATTAAATCCAATTACTTGACTGTGCACTTTTTAACACTTTTTATGTGTTTATCCTTTGAAATATGACGGGACTCATGTGCTGTTGCTTTTTTAAAACCACTGAATTAAATACTGGAAGCTTCTGCTGACGGATTTTCTAACGCCAAGTTGTTGCGTCATGCAGAATGAAACCAAATGATGCGTCATGATATTTCCTAATAACAGTAATTGCGCGAATTGAATGTGAAATTTGTATTTCCATGTTTTATAAATCGCCTGCCAACTCTCTGCTTGAATGAATGTAAGTTAAAGGTTTCTGCTGATATGATCCTCATACATACACAATTACTGCGTTTCCAGCATATTTCATAAGTATTTGGCAACCTCTGCGTATATGTGCCATTATTGGTATGATTTAAAAACTTAACGTTTTGTTGCTAAAATGAAAATATGTATTTATTATCAGCTGGAATTTGTCTGAATTTGGTTTCAATCTCTGTCTAAATATATATGACAAAATCCAAATATATCCTGAAATGATTTTTAGAGGTATGATAGCATTTTGGTTTGGCACAAGAGAAGCGAGTAAGGGGGGAGGGGGGGTATTTTGGATAAAATATAGAAATCACATTATAACAACAACAAAAATCCCCATTGATGTAACAGATGTAAGTGAAAACTTTAGGAATGAGACGGTTCACCTGCAGGTACATCTGCTGTCCACAAGAATTACTTTTTCTTCTGTTCATTTCTGATATTTTAAGGCAGCATTTACTCTCTGTTAAATAAGTTTTTCATCATCCAAATATTTTAAATGCATATTGTCACTTTGGCCATGACACGTGGCAGCGGATTAATAATAAAACCCAATCCATTTGTGCATATAGCTAAAAAAAAACATGCATAAATGAAAATGTTGACAAACATAAGTATACATACATGTCACTGCGTCATAAAACCTATATTGATATTGCTACTGTTTATTTAAAACTTTTTGGCATTGTTGGTTTGATAATTAGTTTTCAGCTTTGTCGTCTATTGCAACTCCTTGTGCACAAATACGCACAGACTGGCTCCATAAATAAATAAATAAAAACATGTAGCCTATTGTTCAAAGAGGGGGATGATCGATGTTTCTGCTTATTGAAGTCGTGTGTACCCACTGTGTGTGTGTGTGTGTGTGTGTGTGTTTAATCTGCACAGTGTTATCAGTGTAACATCTGTACACCATGCAGTCTGTTACAGGAAAACACACACAAGCCTCCAGCCATGAAGCCTAATTGTTTGTGCGTCTGAGTGTGTTTGTGTGCTTGTGCGTGTGTCTGTGTGCGTGTGTGTGTGTGTTGTCAGGCGCTGCGCTCTGACCCGTGCTGACCTCAGAGGGTCCCCGACACAATCCTTTGGCTTGGTGCGCCCCCCTCAGCCTGAACTGCAGCAGTTCACACGGTCCTATTGAGTCCGAACTACATGGTTCAGCAGAGTTTGAAGACCAAACAGTTAAGTGCAGGTTTTACTGGTTCAAGCTTGTAAACACGCGACGAGATATATTTTATATTCATAGCGCGAAGTTTGCAGTTCTATCAAAACATGAGTTGGATTTTCCAGAAGGTGAAAGAGTTAAAGTTCCCTCGTTGAAACTCCAGCCAGGATTAACACTGTGATACTGTGACATAAAAGATAAATGAACTCATTTAAAGTCCAAATTTTACCACTGACTCTTGATGAATTCATCTTTTATGAGAATTTTTCTCGCACTGTTACTTTTTGAAAATAATTCACATCTTAAAAAGTTGATTTGTAAATAAAGAACTCGAGGATTCCTTTTGAAACGCAAAACTGCTACCTCTTGTGGTACAAAATGCAAACTGCAATGACCTGCATACTAACTGGAAGACTGTTTAATTCATCCTCAAGAAAACACAGTAACTCAACACCCTCTAAAAATGTTAACCATTCTATAAGATTTAAAAATCATATATGTAAAACAATACAGTTCCTGTTTTATACTCAGTTCCCATGTTTTTGGTCGTTTTAGAAAATATGTCATATAAGGCCTCAAACCTGCACAAGAGTTTTGTAACCCACAGTATTCTTGGTTTAGATGATCCTCTGAAGTTTACTGCTTTGTGTATTTATTAGGATCCCCATTTGCTGTGTCTTAATGTGAAGTTATAGTCTTTCTGGGTCCACCTTAAAAAACGTAAAATTAAACAAATCTGAAACTATACCATGTTAGCATCCACAAATAAATAAAAACTTTTGTTTATAGGAAAATAATAAAAACAGACCTACAGATGCTGACGTGGTGTTTAGTACACAAACGTTTGGTTACTTGAAACCTAAAATCCATTGTTTCCCATAGAATAAAACTTTGTCACATTCATGATGTTTTGACCTCAAGATTCTCATGTTGCTGCTGTAACACAGTGTCAATGATGACTACGTATTCTGACTTAATTTGGATCATACTGTAGGAGCTCCTATTATTTGTTGCTGCAGTTGGTTTTCTTCTGTTTCTTGTACCTAAGTCCATATAGTCAGTGCATTTTCATATTCACACTAACACATTTAAAAGGTATATAGTTTCATGTAGCTTGCATTCATTTGACTGTTGTTACAAGATACATCTAAAAGGTTCTGAGATGAATCATCTGGTGTTGAAATGAAAACACTAAACGCAATTTGCATTTTGATGTTTTGTTTGACTTTTTACATTCTCACTTTTGTGTCACAGCAAGATGGTTCTGGTTCAGGCTCCCCTCTATCCATGCTCAGAAAATGACACAAGGAAAAAATAAAACATAGAATATAAAAAATGAAATAGAATATGTCAAATAACAATGAACCTAAAGTATAATAAATACACACATGACAAAGTAGTGCAAATAAGCATGATGGCCATGCAGGGCCTTTGGAGTTTACATGTTCTCCTGTGTGGGTTTTCCCCAGATGATCCACCTTCCTCCCACAGCCCAAACACATGCAGTTAGTTGAATACTGTAATTTGAGCGTCGGTTTGTCTCTGTGTGTCATCCCTGTGGCATGTGCTCTGAAGTGGAGTGGGGTGTGGTTGGTGGGTCCTATATAAATATACGCTGCCTGCGGGAGGAACTCAGGTGAAGGTGTCGGTTCAGGCCGGTGGAGTATGGCTGGTGCGCACACCTCGGTCTGCGTTGGCATGCAGGGAGACGACCTGACAGCTGGAGAGGAGGTGGGTGCAGACTGCTTCAATGTGAACGACATGGTATTATTTCTTCAGACCTGGTTGCTGAAAGAAAAACTGCATCCACTCACCAGCTGGTTGAACGTCCAGGTGTGTGTGGTTGAACATTTAATCTGGTTTTAATATTTGTTCAGGGAAAGTGGTGCAGCAGCTCTCGGTGGATATTCAGTTGGTCACTTGTTGACTTTTTCAGTGTTTGCTGCTTTTCTTTGTTTGTGCTTGTCAACCTGTTGAGCAGCAAACACTGAAAATTGTGATAAACTCATTTCCAG